TATATTGACAAAATAAAATTTTTAAAAAATAATAAATAAATAAATAAACAAATAAAGAAGGGGAAGGCAGATAGAAATATAATTCATGCTAGTAACATCTAATAGATACCAGCACTACAAGTTTGGTAAACATTTGTAAAATGAAAAACAAATGAATATAAGCACTATAAATTTGGTTGAAGAAAAGAATTAACAATAAATCAGGGATGGTGATTCCTATGGGGCTAGCTTGTTCAGTCCATAATACCCATGAAAGTACTCTCTTATTGTCTCAATATGATTATCATTCCAATATTTTCACAGAGTGCCAAATAAACGAGATAAATTAAATCTTTAGTTTAACTCCTACACCCTTAAAAATATTCAGATATTTGGGACTATGGACAATGATATCTGCAATTTATATTTTCATTTGGATTATAAATACCACCTATAAATCAAAAGAGTCCTAGAGAAAATCATACATATGAACATACTCATATTTTCACATACAGACATATTGTTTAATGTGGCTAAAGATGTATTATGCCCTGTTGTTTGACATATGCCATTGCTACCCTCAAAAGCATCAAAAGCAAAATTTGGAGAGATTTTTCAGTTAGATAAACACCCTGCAGATTACTGCAATATTACTACTCAGAAAGTACTATGCAATGGAAAAAGTTGATAAAAAAATAAAATATTTTCCTTCCTTATCATTATCATATTGAATGTACTTGGGAATTTGGAATGTTGGTAATGTAATGATAGGTAAATTGTATCCAATAAAGAATAATTAATATTCTACTACCACAGGACAGGAACTCTTCAAAGAGTAAAGGGAAAAAAAATCCCTGAGATTGTACAGATAGAAAATTCAATATCAATGTTATAGCAAATGATCTATTATTCCAATAAAATTCTTAAGAGTTGTTTAATAAGTAAATTTGTCTTTTGATAACTAGGTTATTCATAGTTTGAAGCAATTTACTTGATATATACATCTTTCTAGATCACAGTATTTTGTTGTTTTTTTTTAAAATAATATCTCATCTGGATTATAGTCCTCAGTACTTCTAACAAAAAGGTGAAATATTTCCTAGGAAAGGAGTTTTTCCTCCATCTATTTAAATGTTCAAATTAACTTGAACTTCACAGTTATTGTGAACTTCACATAATTATTGTAAAATGTACTTATTTTAGAAATGATGGCCTAACATACTAAATATTGGAAAGATTACAGAAATATAATTGGAAGTCGGGAATATTAGTTACAACTCTATTGCTAATTACCCATTAGGCCTTTGGTAAATGATATATCCTTTCTGGATTCATTTGGCTTCTTATTGCAAACATATATATATATATATTCCATAAATATATATATTTCAAAAATACGTATATATATTCCAGCCATTTCTTTATGTACCTACCATGTACTAAATTCTTTACAAACATGATGTCTCTTAATCCTAAGAGCAACCGAGAACAATTATTATCCCTATTTTACAGATATAGAATTCAAAGCTGGGGAGGTTACATAATCTACTAAAATTTACACAGCTAATAAATTGGTAAGTTATGGGACAGAATTCAAACTCCAACATTTTGACTCCCACACCTGCCCATTTAACCTCTGCTCTATGTGATGTGATGTTTAAGGACATTTACATTTTCGAATTTCTATAATCAACTCTTTTGTGATCATCCCCACCCTATGCTAATTTATGAACAGGATAACTAGGGAAGGTATTACGGCATGTTAGAAAGATCATGGCACTTAGGAGTTCTGAGATCAGACAAGCAAGTTCAAACCTCAGCATAGCGTGCAATGAATTGAATTATAAAAGAACATTCCTTAACTCCTATAAGACCTACATTCCTAACTTGAGCAAAAAAACCAAATTCCTACATTCAAGGAAGATTCTGAATAATTTAAATAAAATATCTGGAAAAAAAAAAGAAACAGAGAGAAATAAAATTAAATAAAATATCTGGTATATACTAGGAGCTTAGGAAATACTATTGTTACATAACAATAAATACCTTGTCAATCAGATTTGATTTAAATTGGTTTAACATATAATTCTGTGTTGAGAATTTCTGTGTTGAGATCATGAAACATGTAAAAATAATTATTGTTTTCTTGGAGAAGGTTTAGATAATAGTATATTGTATATATATCACACACACATTTTATAAGGAAATAAAAATTGTAAGAACTTCATCCAATTACAGAACTGATGAACGTTACTTAGTTACTTCGGATTGACAATTTCAATTATTTTAATTTTCTACTTAGTCTTTACAATTTTTGATTCAATATCTTACCTTTAAAATTAAAAAGGAGACCTAATTATGAGACAAAATTTGATGCTTCCCTTTTGCTACATCTAAACTTTATAATCCTCTACGTAGTCTTAAAGAAAAATGCTATATAGGACTCGACAAAATAATTAAGTACGTGTAGTTTACAAAACAAACAAAAAAATTGATCCTGAAACTATTTTGTAATAGCTGGTCAAGGCATGACTGACAGCAGATAGGTGTTTGTGAAGCTATAAGAGGCAACCTGTAGTATAACTAGCCACAATTTTTTTAAAGTAAGAAAAAAAAAAAAAGCCAACCATAAAAAGCATATTTTCTAAATTTTATATTTTTTGTGTGTAATATTTGAGGTAAAACTTTCACTTCATTCTTTTTTTCTCTCTCACATGAATAGACAATTATTCCCATTCAATTCTTTGTGTGTACTTCTAGGGGTATAATTAAAGTGTGTGGGGTGGGGGAGGGAGAATTGAACTGAACTCATTATTTTAAGTGCAGTTAATTATTAAATTGCTTTAAAGATTGCCTTAAGGTCCTTTTTTCATCTCTTTTCATTTTTGTTAGGACAATGGTGCTTCTCTTTTTCAACACATATTTCAAATTCACACCTGTGGTGTTTTAGGGTATGTTTTCTGGTGCTCTTGTCAGTCTGGTCCAATCTCCATTCTAAACATGAAATCCTCATTATTTCTGATAATTGATGGTACACTTTTCAATTTCCAGTGTTGTTATCAATTTATATTGTTAAAAATATATTTTTCAGTAATTTTTATGGATATGGAGTGCAAAAATAAGTTGATTTATTTGCTTAGCCTTCTTTGTAATTAGTCCTTTGCCTCATTTGTTATCTGACAGATGTATCCAACTAGACTACACACTCTTTGAGAACGACAACCTTATATTTTCAGATAAACATCTCGGCTACTACATGGTGGATATTTGGCAATTAAATAATCTTTTGTAAGAAACTGAATGGAAATCTTAGCAATTAATAAAGAGCATATTTTTAGATAATTCTTAATCATATCATCCTGCACCATCTCTTTAAATAACAAATTTTTTTTTCAGATAATGTAATGCATAAATGAATTTTTCTTTTTTGTTAAGTGAAAAATCCTATTGGTACTTTTATTTTTTTGGTTAAAAAATAATACAAAATGAGCTTGCTGAAAGCAGAAAAACAAACCTTTTTGCATCAGGTAAAATGTCTTTGAATATAAACTATGGATATTTAAAAGCATCACAAGGGATTCACATATATTCACAGAAGTACTTGACTATTTTTTAAATTGATTCCAGTGCTGAGGTGAAAGGGGAGAAAACAGTTATTAAAAATACTTCAGTCTTACTCTTCAAATTCCTATTTGCAATTTAAAAGCATCACAAGGGATTCACATATATTCACAGAAGTACTTGACTATTTTTTAAATTGATTCCAGTGCTGAGATGAAAGGGGAGAAAACAGTTATTAAAAATACTTCAGTCTTACTCTTCAAATTCCTATTTGCATTAATGAATTATAAACATTTGGAGTTCAGCTTTGCTTAAGATTCAGAAAGTCACAAAAGAATATTGAAATATATAACGATAAGAGGAAGCCCAATAATCTACAAGATCACAACATTTCTTGAGTCCAATCAAAAACTGAGATCCCAAGACAACAAAATGAAGTGAAATTCAAAGGTGACAAGCCTTTTCCTGGAAAAGACAGGACACAGCAAGTGTTGTTCCTTGAACAGGGTACAGGAGGAAGAGGCAACTACCATAAAAGCAGATTGTTAAAAAAGCAAAAATTGTAAAGAATTCTTAAAACAGAGTGTGGTTTGATGTGAGTGTTACGAATCCCCCAGGAAACCCAGACACAAAGGATTCCTTCCCTGAGTTCACAAAAGAAAGAATGAAGGCAGAACAGGAAACCTGAGAGAGACCTCAGAGTGGCTTACAGACATGAAACACACCCAATCTCCCAGACTTTTCTTTCATACAAAGGAAAACTTTTAAATGACTTGGGAAGGGAAAGAAGACCTTTCCACTCCCAAAAGCAAGACAATAATTCTGTGAAGGAGGTACAGAAACAAAAATCATCTGCCACTAGAAATGGGGCAGGAAACCTTCTTTCCCCCAATGGTCAAGTAAGCTGCGACGGTAAGATGCCATTGAGGGAAGAGTAGGAAACTCCCCTGGTCCCACCACAGGCTTGTTACTCATAACATACAACACTAGTCTTTTGCTTGGAGAAGAGTAAGAAATTACTGTCACTGGTCCCAGACAAAGGTACACTGATGCTGGGGGAAGCGTAGGAACAAAAGCTGTCTGACCCTGTAGGAGGGGTAGAAAAGCTGCTTGGACCCAGAATTCTGGATTGATGCAAAAAGTAAATGTTGGCCACCCTGGGGGTTGGGAAGAAGATTATCTCATGCCCAAGACCACCCACAGATACAAGGCAAAGTTTAGCTATTATGGGAAGACCCTCAAAATCCAAATACACAGAACCTAAGACCAAAATTGGAACAAGAGAATGGAGAACCCCTTTTGTAGCCACCCACCATGAGCCTCCCACTTAGTAACAAGTCACAGCAGTCTACCACTGAGGGAAGGACAAGACTGAGCAGAGAGACCCTTCAGTCTGGCAGCCATGCAGGGACTACTGGAAGCTGAGGGATGAGCAAGCATATTCCAGGTCCCACACTAACCACAAGGTAGCATCCGACCACCACTGGAAGGATCTAAAAGCTTTGGTTCACCAAAGGTAACTATAACAAAAACAAAATTCAAACCCAGCGCAATTACTTGATTGACCAAACCCTCCACACTAATAAACTGACAGAAAAAAATGAGGTTTTTCTCCAGGCATAAGTTTTACTTATCTGAATCTCCAAGATAGGAAAGAGAGGATGTAAGGATACTTTTCACCTCAACTCTAGCGATGGAGCTTGAATGGTACCTCTAAGACAGCTTTGAACTGAGTTTTCTATAGCTTTTTTTTTTTTTTTTTTCCCAAATGCATGACTCGGTCCTCAGAATGCCTTACACCTGGCTCAAAGCTAAAGTGAATTCTACTGTCAGGATAGTGTTGGCTGATTTGCACTATATCTGCATTCCCAGAGTTTATTGGAACAAAAGGTTCACAAATAATTTTGGGCACCAAATGTGGACCACACAGGACAGAATTTTGTCTTCAGTCTAATGCATCAAGCTGGGTTACAGAGACTCAAGCAAGAAGAGGATAAACATTCAGGGATGCAAAGTCACAAGCATAGAATGTCATGCACCTTGGCCAAGGGAAATGAAATTAGAGAGATACAACAGAAAACTTCCAGAAAGATTGTATGAGCACAGACACACACACACACACACACACACACACACACACACACACACACACACACACACGCCCTAAGAGAGTCAATTTTAAAGATTTACCAGGTTCACAAAGAGGTCAGTTTACAATGGCACTGGTTCAGATAAGACCTTATCTCCTTACCACTCCTTACCAATCTTTCCTATTCCCACCAATGCTGAGATGTGAGTGGGCATCAGAAACTAACTCACAAGCTGGGGTCAGGGGTTAGGGGGAGTGAGGAAAATAAATTCAGGGTAGAGAAACAGAGAAGAAACCAAATATGCCCTCCTTTCTTTTCTAGGCTTCTAGACAGACGACAACACAAGTGGGAAGCAGGGAAGCTTTAATGATGCACTGAAATTAGAATTTTGATATATATGCATATATAGAGGATTGGTCATTCTAATTACCAAGTAGAGATTGTGTTTCTGATTTAAAGTGACTGACGGGTTTGTCTGTTGCCTATTTGTGAACAGAAAGGATTGGGATTTGACCAGGTTTTGATCTGCAGTATGAAGAATTACTCTACTGAATAAATTTTGAAGGTCAATGAGAGGCAAAAATGAAGTGATACTTTAGATACGTTGGAGTCACATTTCTCCACATATTGTTATGCAGGCAATGACTATTTCCACTCCCTAAAGTTCTCTCATAATGACTCATTTCATGGAACTTCCTTACCTTGCATTATGGATATTATCCAGTTCCACCATTTGAACTAGTGTTTCTTACTTTGGACTGTCCAAAGTAAAGTCAGCCACGACTGATTTATCAGACTTATTTTTATCAGAAATTTGTATTAATTGCCCTAAGCAACAGTACAACTATAGTTAATGTTCATAATTGTAGTCCTAAATTAATGAAGAATTCCCAATTGATTTCCAAAGTAACAAATAAGAGTTACATAATGCTAAGAATAATTAAGTTACGAGATTAAACATATTTCTTCTATTTTAATTCACGTTGAAAACTGATCACTTACCTAAAGTACATAAAAAAAATTCTACCGATCATAATATTTATTAATGTAACAATTATATAAATATTATAATAGCTCTGTGGTACTTTGGAGATTACCAAGTATTTTCACATTCTCTCTTTTGACCCTACCAGCAATCTAACATTTATAAAATAGTAGACTTTGTTAAATAAACTTCTAGATCACTTTTGAGCATGCACACACATATGTATGCATGTGTGTGTGTTGTGTGTTGGTCAATATTTATGCATGTGTATGTATGCCTACGTTGGTGGAAATAAATAAGGGAAAAGATGTCTTCTCTTCCATGTTTACTAAAACCCGTTAGCCACCATAGCCAGTTTCATCTTTTCATGACTTAATATCCTTTAGAACCCAGAATTTGATCTTCTCATACACATGTTTACTTTGCAGACAAAAACATATATTGGTTTAAATTATTTTTTAAATATTTCATCTGTTTCTTGACAAACATAAAAAATTATGAGAAATATGCATTTATAAACTAAAAATGAAACTGAATACTGTTTGCAGGACTCAAATCTCATAAATTCCAGGAAAATACCTTATTCATAGTCAACAAAAGTCAGTATGTGCAAACAGGCTATATTCTTGCTACTCAGTGAGAAAACAATATCCATTAAATTCTCAAGAGTTGCAAATGCTTTCAAATCTCTTCTTAGTGTTTTTTATTAGGAAATACCACATGACTAACAAATGCATTCATTATTTCCTTTAATAGTTTGTCAGAGTCTACACCTCTTAGAGTCTTAGTGCTTTTCTATATGAGAAAGTTCAGAGTTAAAGGCAAAAAAATAAGATTGATATTCACCTGAAGTCTAATAGCAGAGAGTAAAAGCTTGTTCTTAATTTGAAAATGTTCTGTGAGGCATTTTCACTACTTAAAATTCATGTTAGGAACTTCGTAACAATTCATTAGTGTTATCTCAGCATGTTTGTTTCATCACTGTGAAGTTCAATCTTTATGAGACACTAGAAATTCCTAGAGTTAAACAATGGTGAAGTTCTTTGAAATCCAAGGATAAGAGGTGATTTCTAGCTACAGAAAATGATAATCTTATTATATGATCAGAGCCATTAGGGTACAGGTCACATCCTACAATCTGTAGTATGTGTCTGCTCTAGAGTTGATTAGAGAAGAGGCCTGGAACTATTTCTGGAGTTCTGAAGTGGATCTTAAGCTGACAGTAGTGTATCTCTGTGTGTGTGTGTGTGTGTGTGTGTGTGTGTGTGTGTGTGTGTGTGTGTGTGTGGGTAGTGGGAGTTCTAAGTAACAGAGTGATGAATCATCAAATAATTTACAGGCTAGATATAGATATGATATCATATATTTTAGCATAAAATTGGAGGAACTGCTGCATTCTAAACTTCAAAGGGGGAGTATGGAGATGCTGGGGATGGGAATAGGTGCTGGAGCTGATGAATAGGGCTTGACCCTTCAGATGCTAGACAAGCAATCACATAAATATGGCACTACCCTTTGATAGCATGTCAACAGATTATCCTTAAACATGTCAACTGGAGAATATATTTGGCAGGAAGAGATTGATTCCCTTTCTTCCTGGCTACACTTCTCTTCATAATATCATAAGAGAGAGCCTAACTTGGATCCTATCCAAAGTTATTCATTATTCTTTAACTTTATAGCTCCTGTAAATATCTTCAGTGAAAGGAAGATGCTGAGGTGTGGAAACATGTGCCTACTCCATATCTCAATCAAGTAGAACCCACCATAAGAAATACATAAGGTCAGTATAGCAAAGTGGTTAAGAGCACAGGCTCGGTGTTCGTTTCCTATGGCTGCTGTAACAAATCGCCACAAACATGATGGCTTAAAAGAACACAAATTTATTTTTTACAGTTCTAAGGGTCAGTAGTCCAGAATTGGTCTCACTGGGCTGAAGTCAAGGGGTTGGCAGAGCTGGTTCCTTCTGCAGGCTCTAGAGAAGAATCCATTTCCTTGACTTTTCTAGCTTCTGGAAGCCACCTGCATTCCTTGGTTTATTACCTTTTGCTCACATCACTCTAACCTCTTTCTTCTATAGTCAGACTTCTACTTCCCCATTTATCCTTCTTGCCTCCCTCTTATAAAGTCCCTTGTGATTACCTTTAGGGACCGCCTGGATAATCCAAGATAATTTCCTCACTTCCTTATCTCAAGATCCTTAACCTTTTCCAGTTAGTTAACTATAACTAGGAAAAAAAAAAATCCTTTACTCAATTACATCTGCAAATCCCCTTTGCTAAATGAGTATCTTCGGTCTTTAGGGACCACCTGGATAATCCAAGATAATTTCCTCACTTCCTTATCTCAAGATCCTTAACCTTTTCCAGTTAGTAACTATAACTAGGAAAAAAAAAATCCTTTACTCAATTACATCTGCAAATCCCCTTTGCTAAATGAGTATCTTCGGGGCCTGTTGCCCAGCCTACCACAGGGCTCCAAAATCAGATCACATGTATTTGCATTCCAGGATTGTTGAGAGGCAATTTTCTATGGTTTTTTCACATTTCTGTTCATCTTGAGAGCAGAGAAACTAAGTGCCTTTGTTCCAGACTCTTTCAAGGATGTTAATAGTCTTTGGAATATAGTGACTATGTCTCTCTCTGAAGCAAAGGGCAGGTTTGCTTATAGTCTTAGAAGATGGAGAAAGCAACTCCCTCTGAACATGCATGCTTACTGTAAGAACAAAAAAAATGGGGTTTTGTATGCTCCAGATGACTCTCCTCTAACATGGCCCACTATATGTGCAAATGTCACCTTTGTGCTGTCCTCTGGGGAATGGGGCTCAAGATCCTGACTATTGCTATTGATCTTAGTAATAAACTCTTTTGTCTCAGAAGTTTTATGTCTTCTGCTGCATCCGTAACAGTGTAACAAGCTAACTGTTTAGCTTGTAAGCGTAATAAAATCTCAGATTTTATGGTTCTTGACAAGCTGTATCATTTACCTGATATGTGACTTTGATAAAACACTTCATCTTCCTGAATCTCAATTTACAATCTGTAAAATGGAGCTAAGAATAATACCGACCTCAGGGAGTTGCTGAGTGGATTAAATGGGGTAATGAATGTAAGGTGAGCAATCCTGACAAAGTAACTACTCATTCAATGTTAACTATTATTGCAGTCATTGATTTTACCATCACAAAACAAGGTGCTACAGTCTAAAACTAGGAAAACACATCTAGATGATAAAATATTTTTTTTTTGTCCAAACTTACATTTAATTATAATAAAGGTCAATTTGTTTATTCATGGACACACATTTTATTTGAAATTATAAAAATCACAGTTCGGAAGAATTGTAGTCATATAGATATTATATTTGCAAATGTTATCACTCTCTTCCACCCATGTTACCCCTATATGTCTATTTTGAAAAAAAAAATTTGGTAAAGAAAGCCTACATGTTATATAAAATGGTGATCTCAAGTCCCAGTTTAATTATGGCATTTGTTGAAACTATGTTTTTTCTGTTATAGCTGCAGGCATTAATAACTTTCAAACCCAGAATAAATGCTTTGAATTTTTTTAATACTTAAAAGATATGAAACAATATGAAAGATATTTTAACATGTCCTCTATATGGATATATGAATTTGAGTACAATAAATTCATACAGTTTAAAAACAGGTACTGCACTAATGGAACACATTCAACAATAAATTTAATAGTAAGTTACCATTTTTATATATTTTTTATTTTCTGCCAAAATTATAATTCCTGCTACAGCAAAAAATGAACTTGGACAAGACACCCAAGAAGATAAAAATGAATTTGATCTTTTAAAAAGCATCTATCTTGTTCTTTTAGAGAAAATGACAATTATGCCGGGCAAGAATGCCTAATTGAAATTCTCTGACCATTTTATTTTATTTTATTCTTTTCTTTTTCATTATTTTTATTTATGCATATTGTGGGGTACAGAGTTGACTATCAGTATTTGTGTACATTATGGGATAATTAAATCAATATTATTAACATGTTTATCATTACAAATCGTAATTACTTTTTTTGTCCCTTACCCAATTACTCCCTATCCCTCCTTCCACTCCCCCTTTCCCACCTCTAGTAACTATAGGTCTGTTCTCTCCTTCTGAAAGTTCAGCGTTTATTATTGACCATTTAATTTTATTTTGCCTCCCACTGATACCTTTTAACTGTCTGCTGTGGTACCCTGCCTTATTTTCTTTATAGCACTTATCACTGTCTTATTCATTTGTGTGTTTACTTGTTTATTATCTACTTCCCACTGCTTTGATGTAAGTTAAATACGAAGCTTTGTCGTCTTTATTGCAGCATTCCCATCACCTGGAACAGCACCTAGCCCAGAGAAGGCATTCGCTTAATATTTATTGACCAGACAAATAAATAAGTCAGGCAATTAATTTAAAAAAAAAAGAGGTATGAACTTTTCAAAATTTTGTCAAAAATTCTAGGAAGGTGAAAAAACACACATTTGAAAATATTTTGTTCTTATAGAAGTCTGTTTTTATTAAATTAGTGATATGTTTCATTTTACGATATTTTCAGTAATTATTGAAATATATGTAAATTTTTCTTTCTCATTAATTTAACTGCTTTAGCCCCCAAGATTTTACAAAGTTGATGGTATATGCCACATTTAGGAGGTTTTCAATAAACTTCTAGAAAAAAAAATTAAAGAATAAATGAAGATGGATCATTATTGGAAATGCTATTGTCGTTGCCTTTCTTTATAGAAAAGATCTGAGTTTAAAGATCTGAGAAGATGTCCAAAATATTTATCTTTTATTTACTAGTAGCAAAATCTCCATAGACTTGTACTTCAAACTATACAAATTTATCTAAGACTCAGAATTCCTACCAAGATTATAAAATCGTTTTGCAAGCTTGGCATTGCCTCTCAGTCTTCAGGTTAGATGGTAGACACTCTAGCTAAATAACTGAATACGTGTATATTTTAATTTTTTCTGGTTTCAGGAACCACAAGTTGTCATTTGCCAAATGTAAGTTTCTGTTTTGACATTTTAATTTTGTATTGTAAGTGTGTATTTTTATTCTCCTTAATGGAAAGAAGAAATACAAATTGATAAAAAGACATTAAGCTATCCTTTGTACAGAAATATCAAAATTTTAAATATATTTCAGGTGTGAAATTCAGCAAAATGTTCTCATAACCTTCATATCGCCAAAGCAGCACTGTACAGATGTGCCTGGCAATCACATGCCTATTAGAGTTGATCTATGTTGCTGTGGTGGAATGCAAAGAATCACAGTGTCACTGATAATACATTGCTGTCAAAATTAAGATTATTAGTTGGAACATTCAATCATAGCACGGGCACTGACATTTTTGAAAGGAAACCAAGAAACCTCTGTATTACAGTTTAGTCCCTCTCAAAAGTATCTGGGTCAAAAACAGAACCTTCTAAAAATGTATCTGTATAGAGAGACCGTGCAAGTCCATTGTACTAAAATTGCCAAGTCCCTATCATCTGCTACCACATTACAGAGAAAAGTAAGCAGACAGCCTCTGCTGCATCCAAGTTAAAGCAAAAATCTTAACTTTAATTAGACACTTTGTGAGAATGTAAAATCATGGTGGATTTATATTTCCTTAATCTGTGAACTATAAAAAATAACACAAAAACAGGGATATTTTTCATTTTGGCACTTCATTTGCCAATCGTGGAGAATGTACTTTTTAACATCAAAGGTTTAATTTAAAGTAAAGCTGAGTTGAATGAATGATTTTCTCACACTCTCCTCATTCCCTCTAAAAGATAGGAGATATCACCATCATTACCACTCATGTTGTAAATAATTTTCGTCCATCTCTCTGCTTTTATTTTCTCTCCTTCTTCTCTCTGATTCATTCTGCACCCACCACTAGATTGATCCTCCTAGAATACCACTTCATTCACCTAATTCTTTGACTCAAAAGCATTTCCTGTCTCTTATTCCCTCAGGGTTTTATCTAAACCCTTTCTTCTCACATTCCTTTCATTTTCCATCAAGAGCTTTTATTTTATCACTGTTCACTTTCCACATCTCCTCTGTCACTATTATCAGCAAACAAAACCTCCAATAGTGATCCATTTAGGTTCCCCACATCCTTTTTCTGGATACTGTGTTCCCCTTCCCCCCACCCCCATGGAATTTCTGGTTGCAGAAATGTCCTCCTCTCCTTCTTGAACGTTTTTAACATTCTTCCTTTAAGATATAGCCCAAACACCACCTCCTGCACAAAGAGTTGTCTGAGTAATACCCACATAAAATATCTCTTTCTCCCTATAGATTCCCAGTACATGGGTATTCTCTATCAATCATATATTTCTTTGGGACAGCTTTGAATTTAGCCCAAACACCACCTCCTGCACAAAGAGTTGTCTGAGTAATACCCACATAAAATATCTCTTTCTCCCTGTAGATTCCCAGTACATGGGTATTCTCTATCAATCATATATTTCTTTGGGACAGCTTTGAAT